CGAAAAATAATTGGCTAGTGCCATAAAAAAGTCACATGACCGGAAAATTTTTTGTGGGTGAGCTACTAACGTCGGCTAAATTCACTTATCAAACCAATTTTTACAACGAAAAAATAAAGCCTTGATTATTGTTAGGGTAAGGGTTAGTTTATACCAAAATTTTATGAGGAATTTTTTTTGTTAGAAGCCAAAAGTCGAAATTTTGAAATATCGGTTGGTTTTTATATTACCCGTGTATAAATTGAAATTGTCTTTAGAAAAAAAAATTGTCGAAAAATCATGACAAAATTTAGGTGTGACAACTGTTAAGTAAAAAAAAAACCAATGAAAATAAAAAAGCTTAAAGTACGTCCAAGAAGAGTTGAACAAATTGGCCCTTGCATCGCTGAAATGGCCGCTGTTTTAACATGTTGGTCTAATAGCTCAGTAGATTCTCCTGCTTGCATGAAATCTGTAGAAGCACTTACTGATTGTATGCGTAATTCTGTAAGTACTATTTATTCTTTATAAATACTGAAATTTTAACAGTTAACGATATATAATTTAAATATTTATATCAAAAAGCCAAAAAAGTCAAATCAATCGAATACTATTAATTATCATCTTGCAAGGCTAGGAAAATATTTGTGATTCTTTCGGCAATATACTATTAAAGATCGAAAAATGGACACTATATGCAGTAATCAACGGTACCGGTTCTTATTTTATTATACAGTAGTTTCAGAGAATGTATCCGTAAAATTATGAATTTTTACAAATAAAGTTATTGATAAATTTTATCGCAGAGTAACATCCAATTTTTCCGCAACTGACTTTCTTAATTTATCTTGAATTCCATTGATTTCTTCGTTGGTACATGTTCTAAAAACAATGTAGAAATTTAGATTGATGAATATGGAATGCATGGTTGAGAAGTAGTTATTGGAAGCTTACCTATCCATAGACCTATAATTGATTCTGAAGCATAAACTTCTTTTTTTTGTTTTAGGGTGCATAAAATCATCAATCTAAGATCAAACAAATATATTCAGTTAATGCACACAACTTTTGACATTATAAACGCGTTAATAATTACCAACTTTACATCTTCAACTAAATCTTCAGCGATATCCCTTACGATTTCACAAAAATTAGTTATATGAAATTCATGTTCTTTGTCATTATTCATCCAAAAACTTAGATCTTTAATACATGAAGGATATTTTGAGAATGGTTTAAATTTAATGATTTCATTCGAAGTAAATTGATTGATAAATCGTGGATCCTTTGACCAAAAGAGACGTATATCAGGTATATTAAACAACACCATTGCTATACGTTCTAAACCTAATCCAAAAGCCCAACCTATTTTATCAGGTTGCCCTTTTTGTAAAATAAAAAAGTGAGATGATGCATTAAAAAGAAATTAATAGTATAATTATTTAATAAAAAACTTTTTTTTTTTTTTTAATATTTTAATTACCAGCATTATTCAAAATATCTTGTTCTATTACACCGCACCCGCACACTTCAAGCCACTTTCCTTGATAAAATATTTCCATTTCCCAACTAGGGCTAGTGAAAGGAAAATATGCGTCGACCCACCTAACCTGCAAATTCTTTTCGTCTATAAATAACATTTTAACCAACTCATTTAACGAATATTTCAGATGAGAAATTGTTGCGTTAGCAACTTCAATAGGATGACAAGGTTGTATAGGATTTGTAGTACTAATCACAGTATTATCATCAGTATTTATATGACGATATTGTTGAGAAGTAGAAATTTGCATATCACAAGCTATTTCTTCAATAGCTTTATTAATAGAAAAAATTTGAGCACCTTCCATTTGATGAAAAACTGGATAATGACATGTATCTATTTCATCTCTTCGGTAAACATCAGCGCTTATTAAAAATTTTTCAGCACCAGTTTTGAAAGCTTGACGTTGGTGTGCAGAAGTATGAGTTCGAAGCATTATTGAATTGTTAATGTAATAACTATCAGTAGTACTTCTTCCTGGATGATTGGCAGGAAAACCAAGTTCATCAAAATTCTGAACAGTAGTTACAATAGGACTAAATGAATTAAAATGATGAAATTTATCAAAATAAGATTCTATACAATTACGAAGAATTGATATAGGATGATATTGTTGAAGATATAATTGACGCGTAGTTTTTGATAGAATTGAAGGAGTCACATTTGTTAATTTATCACGTGGATAAGCACGCCCTTCCACATAGATTAATTCATCAGTGATGTAAGGTTCAGCGTAAGTCGTATAGAAACGTTTATAGTTGTTAGGCGAGACGTTTTTTATGTGTTGACGAAAGACGAAACCTAAAATCGGTGAAAGACGAAACGGTTTGTCAGGTGACAAAAGATGAAAATATGAAACCCCTGACGAAAGACGAAACCTCTAACGAAACCAAAGATTAAACTCGTCTTAGAATACATTGCGGATTCGAAAGTATATACGAGATATCGACATTGAGATTTTTAATCGAATTTGACAGTATTTTAGAGGAAATGATGCAACCACGTGATGATAATCGCTGATAATCCAAGTAGGTAAATCGCAAAGCACCCATGTAGAAGATTTTTAAAAAAAACCAATAGCGATAGTGGTCCAATTAATCGATTAGATAATTTTCGGTTGTAAATTTTTGGTTAAGCAATAGTTAGGGCAAACATTGCCTGGGTACAGGGACAGTGATTTTATGCGGTGACAAAATCTAAATTATGTGATATGAAAAAATGAATTATGCGATGTAATGTGAAATGATTTTTTCGAGATTATGTGCAGTTATGTGGTCTGAGTAGCTGATTATTTGCCAATATGTGATCAAATTCGAAATAAAAATTTTATTAAATGAATATAAAAAAATAAAAAAAATTGTATCCTAATT